CAATCCTTAAGCTTAAATGTTGAATTATTAAGAGTCCAATGTGTTAAAGTTGATGTTAAATGTGATGATAATCACCGAATTATCATTCTCATGCTATTAATCTCTGTGGCGTACGTAAACGTATAACTGTGCTCCATATAATTTTCTGTCAACTGTTACAGACAAGTGTTTATGTAATAAGGCATACCAATCCACATCCAAATATGAAATTCCACGATTATATCTTAATTCCACGATTATATCTTTATTCCACAGAAGTTACGATTAAAAAAAAATCTCCAAACAGCCAGAGAAATTTTAAAAAATTCTGGAATTTTTCTTGTTAAACTCTCTTGTTGAGTAGGATGCATTGACATTCCACCATTTTTCATCGCCAGAAGGACACGATCAAATATTTTATTTTGGATTTTTATTCGGATTCAAGGGAAATTAGTCATTGTTTTTTATGAATTTTTCAGAATTTTTCAAGAGGTTTGGATGGAATGTATACAAATTACTGCAATTTTAATCAAGATATCATTTAGTTGTTAAATAATTTCACCTTTTCTTTCAGTAATTCTCTTGTTTGTAGATAAAATATTTTAGCTTTTAATTAATTGCACAATTGATCGAGTCAGAATAAAAAAAAAATAATCAAATTCGAAATTTCTTCTTTTGTCATTTTTTTTCATGCCAAAGATGACCCAATAAAATATATAAGTTGGAATTTTTATTCATATTCAAGGGTTGAGAATTTTTAAATTATTCTGAAATTTCCGAGAAGTTTCTACAAAAGCTAGGAAAATTATTACAATTATAATCAGAATATAATTTCATTGCGGAAAAATCAACTAAAATATAATGACGAATTTCCTTTTTTATTAAATATTGGAGTTTCGAATTAATAGGAAAATAGTTTGGGTCTCAAATAAAAAAAGGAATGAACAAGAAACCGGGAAAACATTCCGCATTCGTAAAAAAAACTTCAACTTCTCCGACTTCAGAATAGCAAGCGCTAGATTGAGAGGTACTTTGAATTTTCGACTTCCATTAGCTTCATTCCTCAACTTAAGATTCCCCCGAGCAATCGCATTTTCATGTCTCTCCAGACAATAACTCCTGGAGTCAACAAAATCCGACGCATCGGTATGTGCGAAGAATCATCTGAAGGAATGGTGTTGGATCTATTTATCGTTATATGAAAGTACTTAGGTGACCGTTAGTAAATACCCGACGATAGAACCGGTGTCTGTACTTGCATCCAATGGGAATTCAGCACGTGTTCGGATTCTTGGTGTATGAAAATCGCAGCACATGCAATCACTTTGAACTTATTCGTCAGAATAGTGCCGTTACACATTTTTTCAGACTTGTTGCTTACGTAAAAATCGTTCCAAATTTAGATCACGCCAACAGTATTTCATTATTTTTTTATTTCATTTCACCTTTCCCATTATTTACATATTCTTATCAAATTTGTCCAGATGTCGAGCCCACCAGTTCTCTCGAAAGAGCAGAACATTTTTGTAAATCATAATTTCCTTGTAAACGAGGAAATAATTATTAAAAATGTGAAAAATACGGATTGTTTAAAAACATAATAAATACGCACTCTAAAAAAATTTAGTTAGACATTTTAAACAGCGAAAGTCGATTCCATTTTTATCATACGATTTCGCAAGCACTGGCATATAATAATATATTAAGGGTGATCTACACCTATCCATAGCCAAAATTAACGTTTTTTTATTTTTTCGGCAAACTTAATATGGGATTGAAGTGAAAAAAAAAACGTTTTTGCGTTTTGTTGTTATTTAATGGCTCACCAAACTTTAAGGTACGTTATCCAAATATTTTTTTGCGTTCTTTCTAAACTTTTCAAAAGAAACAAAATTATTGGAAAAATGCATGAAAACGATTGCACCACCACAAAAATTCGTGAGACATTAAATCATGACAAGACGCAGAAACGTTCGATTTTTGCACATAAATCCCATCACGAATTTTCCAAAAAATTTGAAACACGTGAATTTTGACTATATCCTTAAAGATCTTCTGCAGCTATAGTTTAAACAATAGTTTAAGACCCTTTCTATAATTCGCTATATTTATCGCAATTAATATTTCAATGCGCTAATTTGTCGAAGTAATAGCCATAGAAAATTACTATATTGTATTTAATTTTATGAATAAATGTTATACTGTTTAAACAAATTAATTAAAAAAAAAATTTAATCAATCGTCATAAAATTTTTATAATATCGTTTTATAATTGTTTTAATAGTAAACTTTCAAAGTTTCAACAAAATTTCATATTTTGGACTATATTTATAATAAATAAATACAAAACAATGTTGTGAATCAATTTAAAATTTTATACAGGCATCTATTATCGCT